TACAAAATAGAAAAAGAAAAAAAAACAACATAAGACTTAAGAATTTTGCTAGCCTTAAATTAAAGTAAAACTTTTGTTAGTTAGATTAAAGCAAATTGGCAACAACTATTAAAGGACGCCGTGACCACTGTCAATTGCGATTTACATTTTAAAGCGCTAAGCTGTAGTAAATCACTTTTTAGGGACCAAATTTATAGCGACCCGCTTTTTAGGAACTGAACCTATAGCGATTAACAGATTTGAACCAAATTTTATCGAGACCCATCTTCTTAGAGTCCGAATTAGCCGGCCGAGTGGTTAGCGTGCCTGACTGCGAAGCCAATGGCTGCGGGTTCGAATCCCGCTCTAGGCATGGATGTTTCTCTCTCTGTGTGTTGTCTTCTGATGTGTGAATGTATGAATGCGGCGCACCCTATGAACGGTTATTTGTGGCAGTGTGGCGTGGGTACTGTTGCTCGCCTCCGTGACTTTGGTTCACAGGTGCCCACAGGGTAACGATAAATGAGCAACACTTCCGGCATCTTCTAAGGAGATGAGCAAAAGTTCAGTGCCTACCGTTATTTAAAAAAAAAAAAAAAAAAAAAAATGAGAATCCGAATTATAGCGACCCGTTTTCTAACAATCGAATCTATAGAGACCCACTACTTATCACTTTTTTTAAAAAATTCTTTTTTTATACTCTATCACTTTTTAGGGACCAAATCTATAGCGACCTAATTTTTTTAGGAGCTGAATCTTCAACGAGACCCATGTTTTTGAATTTGAATTATAGTAACCTGTTTTCTAATAATCGAATCTATAAAGACCAACTACTTATCAGTTTTTATTTTGATTCTATCAATTTTTAGGGACCGAATCAATAGTAACTCGCTTTTTAGGAACTAAATCTATAGCGATCAACAGATTAGGTGTCAAATTTTATCGAGAACCTTTTTCTTAGAAGCCGAATTTTAGCGATCCACATTCTACCAACAAATGTATTGAGATCAACTAATTAGAGCCTGAATCTATTAAAAACTAACTTAAAAACTAAATTAGAAATCAAATCTATCACGAATCATTTTTTTTTTCCTTCCTTTCAAAGAACGAATCTATAGAGACTCTTTTTTTATGAACTAAATCAATAGCGAACCAATTTTTAGAAACTGAATATATACATAGCGACCATCTTTTTAAAACTGAATAGAAACGCATTTAATCCTCAAATCCTGGTTATTGAAAAAATTTTGATTTCACTGCTTTTTTTTTTCTCCACATACTTTCTTGCCGAAAAGGGTTGTTATGAATTATTATATAAAGAAATAATAATAAAATTCTTATTAATTATTATTATATAAATAGTCATGTATTATTGTGAATAAGATTAATATGTCTCATTCGTAATGAGCAAATTGAAAATAAACTATTATTAATTACTTATAAAAATTGTATTATTATTTTTTTTTTGTCTGTCTGCGAAATAAAACTAAAACAATGTGCATGAAACTACTCTGCAAAATTTAATTATATATATTTTATTACTCTCTTTTCATTTTATGAGTATCGATAATTCTAAAAACGCTGTAATGCAATAACAAAATAACTCTATTATTAATAGTATTACTATTAAGTGAAACGACAGCAATCTAAAATTCAACATGACACACTTGATACGAGGATTGAAAAGTAAAATTTATTATTTATCTTTATGAAATCTCTATTTTTTTATTTATTTATAAACTATCTTCTTGTAAAAAAATAAATAAATAATAATAATGATACATCCCATTTCGTAATATAACAGAATTATTACCATTTTTTGCTGCGCAAATTTAGTTTTAAAGAACCGCTGTTTATACCTACGGCGTACGTCGCAAATTTCTTGATTTTNTTAACTGTCGTTTCTGAGAAAGTAGTTTTTAGCTCATTTTACCCTACGACTTTTGTGATAATTCACAATGTAAAAGAGATATCTTTAAAATATTAGGCACAATTGTTCGCTATAATGTATAGAGTGTAATGAACTACAAACTTTGTTCCAGCTATTTTATTTTTAATTTTATGTCCACTTTAAGTGCTGGTAGATAGTAATTTTTTTAAACATTTTTATGTAATTTCAATGAATAAAACTATTTTATGTGTAATTATTTAAATAATTCTTAGTTTTTAGTTCATAACACTCTTAAAGGTATCAAGTACTTGTAATAAAAAAATAAAAGGGATATGTTAATAACTTTTTTGTGTAGAGCATTAGCCGTTTTCGTATTAAAATCCAAAATTTTTGATAAAATATTACCATTTTTCAAAAGTTTAAATAAATAATGATTGATTGTTATTGATTTCACTGTTTTTTATCTACAATACACCAAACACAACATTTAAAATTAGAGTTTTTAATTTTTTTTAAAAATTCCGTGCCGAACGTAGACGGATACCTTAAAGAACCGCTGTTTATACCTATGGCGTACGTCGCAAATTTCTTGATTTTATTCAGCTGTTCGTGTGTCATTTTGCTTTTATTATGCGGAGTGAACAAACTGAATAATCTTCTCTTGTTTCGAAACAATTTAGGCTTTCTAGATACTGTTTATGAATATTCTAATTGCTGTACAGATATTAGTTCACAGTATACACTGTATAAATATGTAACTCATTCGCATTGCGAAATTTTCGATGTAAATTTTTTTAGTATAAAAAAGATCTTTAAGAACATAAAAAATAAATTATACGAAGTAGCAGATTTTTTTTTTAACCCATTAACCACTACTTTTAATAAACCATTATGGACACTGAAATTTTAAATGACCAAATGCACATTTATTACATTACTATACCCTTTAGTACCATGATTATATAAACATGATCACGCGATGACTTCAGTGATGTAAGATGACACGGACCTAATCTTGATTCGGAGCTCTCATATTACATCTCCTATTAGTGAGTATACGTATAGTTTGTCTACGGTAAGAACTCTCCCCGCCACAAAGTCTGAGGCCGTCTGCTGCTATGGAAACAAGAATAGCTCATTTCAGGGAGGGTAGCTTCTCTTCACTGAAGGGCTTACACAGTAGACCGAAGAAAAAGATTTCCTTTTTCTCACTGACCCGAGCCTAAACCTGTCCTAAACAAATTGACCCCACACCCCTACTTGAAATAGTTATACCTCGTTACCATAGTCATCGCCACGGGTCCAGACGAATGGCTAGGGGAGTTCTTACTTTAAACAAACTATACTTCTTAGTGTGTATAAACTCGGGCCATGACTTTTTTCACTTTTTTCAATAAACATTTCGCTCGTAGATAATATTTTGAAAAATAAAAATATGATTTTTTCAAAAAATTGGAACCGGTTGAACCGGTTCCAATTTGGACCGGTTGAAGAATGATAAGGGTTACTAAGAAATTTTAGGGCTTTAAAATACTAAAGAGGAAGATCAATTTTAAAATAAAAATTTTCTTTACATTTATAAAAAGGAAATCGGGAATATTTTGTAGAGAAAATAACACCGTATTTTGAAATAATTTTCGTATTTATTTAGAATTTTATACTTGTATCCTTCAGATAGTTTATTAATATTGTACATATTTTGGAAATGAATGTATTTTTTTCTTTCTCTGCATTAATAATATAAATATAAATTTCTAATATGTATTGTAGAATAAGTAATATATGTTATTATAAACAATATTGCATAATTGTATGCTGATCTAAACAATAAAATTGGAACGTTGTAAGTAACGCGAATTTCAATTAGAAATGACTTCTCATGTATTCATTTTCCATCAAACAAAGTAGCTGGACTTAAAACTCAGGAAAATTTTATGAGTTTTAAATATATATTTGAATATTATAAAGTGTTTGTTTTCTTAAAAAATGGGTATTTGATCAATTTTTTCTACAACTAAGAAATGGTATTCTTTATTTTGCAAAGTAATAATCTTCGAATTATTTAGCATATCATTTAAAATGATTTTGAGGATCATCAAAATTAATTGCATTAATTTAAGTGCTTTAGTTTTTTTCCTTCTGTGATGTGGAAAAGGAATAGATTTGTGAACATTTATGTAATTATGAATTTACATAATTACTGTTTTACTTTTGAGTTCAATAAACTGAATGAATCTCTGGTTTATCTGACATGCCCCTAAAACAACAAAATTTTTGGTTTTTAGCGAGCTGTAATTCCTCTCTTCTTACTACATTAAAAAGTAATAAAAAGCCATCGCCAGTGTTTTAAGCGTTCATTTAAAAAGTGTGTTCATTTAACAGGTGTTTAAATTACATTTAAAAAAGAACCAATTATGTCATAGATAGAAGTGTCAATAGAGGCTGTAATCTATAAATATTTTGTCTAAACATCTGACATTTTATGCTGCTTTTCATCCCATGTAGATTTTCCCAGTTCAGCCTGTATCTCGAAACAAGCTAAGAGCCATCTAAATTGAACTGCCCGAGCCTATCTGCTAGGTTCATTGGAGTAAAATCTAAACATTCCAATTTGGATCCCTCTTCAGGGCATGTTTTTGTTACACTTTTGTTAAGCTACTACAGTTATTTTTACAGTTAACTTCGATTCTCCAAAAATACCGAAAAATATTCCTTCCCTCTAAAGTACACAATCAGTATCATTCTTGCCCCAATGAGTCCCGCAGTGAGGGCATTCTTGCCCTCACTGCGGGACTGTTCACATTGGATGCCACTTGGGAATTGAGAAAGTGGATCATATTATAATATATAGTAATATATTTATTTGCGGAAAACTCGCCAATTTCAGGTTCTCTTTAGCATCACGAAATCGCATATGCAATTTTTTTCGCATGCAGTGTGAATGTGTCTAATCTCTGCATAACTTCTAAAATTCATTCCGTAATAGTAGAATCTATTCCAGGCCGGCATAAGTATGCTGAAAAATAGGTTAATTTGTCTTTTGAATCGACGCACTCCCGTCAGTTAATTAAATAAATAAATAACTTAATTAATGCTATATACAAAGCCATTTTCAATATCACGTGTCATCAAATCATCATTGTTTAACTACGTATCATCTCAACTCGTCTCTAAAAAACTGTCTACCCCCTCTTTTAATTTTATTTGTTGCTTTCATGTGATTTGTCCGTTGATACACTGTGAATTTAAATAGTTGTTTCTGTGTAAATACATTTATTAATTCAAATCGATTGAGGTAATTAAATTTATAGTGTTTGAAAATGTCTGCTTTATTCGCCGGTTATTTAGAAATCTTAGACAAGAAATTGCACGAAAAAAATTGCAAGGTTAACGAATATTTTGAAAAAGCTGAGCAAGCTACCGGAGTTAAACGTGTTTACCTAGCTCTTGGTAAGTTAAGATTAATTTCATAACTAGCCTTAGAAAATTTGTTTGTTTGTAATTGAGTAACCCTTACTTTTACTTCTTATAACTTCATGTGTGTTAGAAATTTAGGAAAGCATAATTGTCTGATATCATATCCTTTAGTTAAATACTATTTCTGACATTTTAAATTTTCGTCAATTAGCATGTAGCAATTTAACGCGACTAAGCTATCATATTATATATTAGTCTATGCATGATTATTTTATATGTAATACTTATATTTGACATTATAATATTGTCTTTGGCGATACAAAAATGTTTTCATAGTCGTTTGAAATTGTTGAATGAAATAAAAAACAAAATTACAAATTCATTTTACTTAAACCATTATCTTTTTTATCCTAGTATTTGGTTTAAAATTCAGTATAGTGCGAAAAATTATTGTCTAGGGTACTTATTTGGCTGGTTATGTTTTTTACAAAGTTGTGTCACTTTAAAATGTGTATCATGGCAATTAATACTCACACTAACACTTTAAAGCTTCTTAAATGTGTTTTTTTAGAATTTAATTTATTGGTTTACAAGCCTTTGGGACAAAATTAATTTTGAATACCATTAAAAATTGTTACATTTTTATTAACTTTGAACAGAAATTGTAAGAAATCACATTTTAAGTGTACAACATTATCATCTTAAAGCGTCATTATATTATTTTATGTAATATTAATTTGTTGGTTAGCATAATGATAATATTTTTTCTAATTTTATATGAAGAAATACAAAAGGTAGGATTCATAGTAGTTTTGATATTCCTAAATTTTCTGATAAAAAATTTTTTTTTTCTTTTAATTTTCTTGATTTCTTTTTAGGTCTTTGTTTTGATTTTTGTGTGTTTAATTTAAGGCATCTAATTTTCTAAGAATACAAGATTCTGAGATTTATAAAAATAGAATTGAAAGATTTTGGTTCTTGATAAAGCATCTTTTTGTTTAAAATACTAATGCTAGTGAAGATAGTTAGTTAGTTCCAGAATGTGGTAACTCTTATAATTTAGGGCATATTTACTAATTATATATTTAAGGCTCAGGCATATAGGATACATTGTTTCAACTTCCTAAGAAAATTCAGTAATTCCATTATTAAGAATTTTTTTTAGAAAAATCATTTATTTTTAGAAAAGAACATTTATTTTTAGAAAAATCAGTGAAACATATTTGTTTATTTATAATTATTAAACACGGTATATTTATTATTAACATTACAATTTTAAAATGGACACATATTTATTTTTATAATTATTGATTTGTTTCTTTCATGAGATTTTCGAAATGGTCAGCTCCAATCCAGTAATGGAATCATAGTATTTTAAAGCAATGAATTGAGACATAAGCATCGCCAGGGTTAAATTTTTAAGGCGGAGTGAATTAAAACACACATATGTAATACTTTTAATTTAATGCAGAAAAAAAATTTCTTATCTGTTATTAAATACATATAGAAAAATATCTTTTATTTCTTTAATTTATATTAATTGAAGTAGATTCAAGAAAATTTACTTCAATCTTCTGAAATATTGACAAGGACTTTTAGAGTTCTTTCATTTTAGAGGGTGACATATCACTCATTGTCCCACTTGCAAACAGTGCCCTTAAACTTAAGGATCATTTACTAAAATTACTTTTGTATAAAAATTTTAAGTAGCACATTCCTAACACAAGTCCTAACTTACATATTTTAATTATGTATTGGTATAAAGCAATATTAACTAATTGATACTAGTTATTTTTTTAATGTAAAAGCACTATGAAAGTTTTCTAGGTATTAATTAGTAACTGTTATCAGTTTTTTTATAAAATTATATTGGAAACTCTTAAAACTTTTTGCTCTTTCAAAGTAATTTAAAATAGTACATTTTATTATTCTTTTGCAATAAAATTAGCATTTCTTGCACTTAAAGCATTTTTTTAATTTTTTTAAAGTAGTCTGGTAAATGTAAAGAAATGTAGATTTCTCCCAATTTTTTTTTCTTTCCTTTGAAACCTGAAAATATTTTCAACTTTATTTAATGCACTTAAATACTTAATTATTTCTTTATTTCATTGATTTAAATAAAAGATGAAATGACCGATTTTCACAATAGCCCTGTGGCAGAATTTTTTCTGGCTTTCTGCGACAAACCTGACTAGAACCAATAACTTTCTGCAAGATATTTTTATCATTATAAATATATGTGTAATGAATTTATAATAATAGATGCACTTCATGTTATAAAAAAGCCTACATGCATAGATTAAACTGTGTAGATTATTTTTTCTTCATTTCATAATATAAGTTTAAATTTCTTAATAAGTTAAAATTTACATAATCTTCGATAATAAAGAAAAATTATAAATGTATAGATCTGCAGGCAAAAATGCTTACTAGAGCATAAATAAATATTACCAAGAACCTGAAATAAGATAGAACTTATAAAAATAGCTAAGAATGGACAAAAAGATTAAATTTATAAAACAACATAACTGAATTTGAAGTATCAGTTTAAAACAGTATGATTTAATGTTTCATTATAGTAATTATATCAGGTACAGAAACAAATCAGGTGAAAAAATTAATATTGAAGTTGAGTAGTCAAAATGATAAAATAATATTGACTATAACCGAATTCTAAAAGCAAAAAAATTAAAGCAATCTATTTCTATATGAAAACAATTATATTCGATTAATTTTGTACTGACTTATTGAAAAAATTTTATAAAAAAAAAGGTAAATAAAACTTTTTTTGTGATCAGATTAAGTTCAAAAAGAAAAAAATACACAGCGTGTGGGATTTGTAATAGAAGTCTCACTGTATTGTGTAAATATATAGCATTGATTCCACACGAAGTACGCAGGCGCGGTTTCCGACATAATACGCTCGAGACTATTCAACATCTCGAAACGAAATAGTCTTCATAAGTGCTGAAACATTGTTATTAGAGCCATACTTATTAGATGCGATTTTTTCGCATGCATATGGAAACCTATTTGAAAGTGTTTCGCCAGTAAATATTTTCCACCAATCTGGTTTTCATTTGCATGCCAAAAAATTGTAGATAATGAGATCTTAGGCTTTATTTCATTTATCGTTATATTGCGAGTGTTTTTTTATATCGACGACTTAATTCAAAAGATATAGGTATTTTATCATCCGTTTCATCCATACTATCGACATTGCTACTAGTAGGAATATTTGGTTCGAATCTAGAATATCTTTCTTTTTTCTTTTCCCAATATTAGTAGCGTAGAAAGCTTCTTACCTCTTTTCCTGTCACTTTCCAGAAAAAAAATCTGACATCGCTAGATATTGTCAACTTACATCTTATTTCTTCTTCGGAATGCCGCCTTGAAAAATAAGTTTTAATTTTTTATATTTTTTTATTATTGTTGCTTCACAAGAGCAACAAATAACCTTTTTCGCTAGACATTATTTTTTTTAAAAAGAGAATCTTTTTATGCATGAAATTTTCCATATTGGCGCAAAAAATATAAAACACTCTGTTCTCACAAGAAAACACAAATCAAATTTCTGCGCCAGCGATAAAGGCCGAAGTTGGCAAAAGTCCCAAAAATAGCTTAATAAAGGGGAAAAAATTTCTCCCCTTTTATATCCAGTTACTGTTTGTGTTGGACACGGACTAGGGAGATTAACGGAGGATCACGAGTGCTTTCCCCTTCCACGGTACGCTAGAAAAACAATTATTTAAAAACAATTCTGTAAGAAAATAATTTTGCAGAACCATTATTGCTTCTGCAGAAATTTTCTGTTTCTGTCAAAATTATTTTTTTGTAAAACAGTTTCTGTTTCTGCAGAATCTTTTTTGAGAACCTTTGGTTTTTTCCAAACCAAAAAATTTTATTTCCCAAATAAAAAAATCTTTCTGCAAGAACTCAGTCCCTTTCTGTGACAATGTCGCTGTGTCGCCGTGTTTCTGCCACGAGGACAATAGCTGGGGTGAAATCCCGTAAATTTTTAAAACTTACTGGATCTTTAGAATAAATTGGTGCTATTTAAAATTAAATAATATGAAAATATTTCAAAAATAATTAATAATTCTGCTGTTTGATAAATTTTTATAGATAATAAATTTAAGCAAAATGGTTAGCAAAGTTTGGTCAAAAATAGGATATATTAACTGATCTATAATGTTATGACTGGGTAATAAAATACAGTAAATTATCTCTACTTTAAGAATGAAACTATAACCTTTCATCATCAGGTAATAAAAATTAACTTGCTGTTCAATGTAAAAATTTAGTTCAAATATTATAAGAAACCCAATTTATTAATGCTTTTTCCTGATTTGAAGTTTTTGTTTTCTTTCACTTGTTCAGTTTTAAAATAAAATGACTTAAGTTAAAGCTTATTTAATATTATAGTTATTAATTATTCTAATATTATAGTTATTAATTAATTAGTTTCTTCTCTGAAATAGTGCTGAAGTAATGCTAAAATTGTGCATCTAGGATGTGAAAATATGCATTAAAACTTATTTCCAAAGATACAACTGTTTCATTTTAATTCTTTTTATAAACTTTATTTGTTATTACTGTTTTTTTTTCTACTTCGGAAGTTTAAAATTTTTAACTGTTGACATATTAATTCAAAATATAAAAAAATTTGAATTATTATATAAATTATTATTGAATTATTTTGATTGAGAACAGAAGCTATTTTTTGGGAAAGTTTTCTGTAATCAGACTATATTCAAGCAATATTTTGCATGTAGTTATTAAAAATTAATTCCTAAATAGTCCGTTAGTTATATAAACATAATTTTTAAAAAAAAAATTTCAGCCGATTTCTATCATTTTTGTTCTGAGGAGTTATTAATTTGCAGTAAGTTTTGACAGTTTAAATCATGGATAAAACTGTTGTCTGGAACTGCAGTATTAAATTATATTTTGCTTGACATGTTATGTAGTATTTAATGTTAAATATTTTAACATACATTCAAAGTAATACCTTTTAAGAAATCCAGATATTTATCTAACAAAAGTTCAGATGTAAGAAGGCATGGTTAGCAGTCGCTAACAGCAGTCTAAATGAAATAAAGTGACCACCAAAAAATTACCATAATTTGCCACTCACTCAAAACTTCCTCTTTTTAGCATTCGACACCCTATCCTCAACACTCCTTAGTTTCTTGAAATGCACCCCTATAAGAAAGTTTATTTTAAATAACTTCTGTAAATTCTTTTCTAACTACATGTTTGGAATCTTTAAATTTTAACTAAATTTATGCACATTAAGTTTCAATCATAACTTTTTTTTCTCCACCTATTTAAATGAAAGTGTTTCATTGATTTATTATTTTTAAATATATTTTCTGACTTTTTTGTCTCTTTTTATGGAGGGAGTAAAGTAGAACTAATTATTAATTAAAATAATCTTCTCGAAGAGTAAGTGTGAAAGGGAATGACGGAAATGGTAAACTCATGAAAGTAATATTTTCAAAGAAAAGTTTAGCAATAGAATTGAAAAGAAAAAAAAAACATGGCAATGATTGAAATATGAAATTGATCTGAAAAAAATTAATTAAAAAGATAAATGAATGCAAAAGATAAAGAAATAATGAACAATGGAATAATACAGAGGTAAATGAAGCTGAGAGCAGCAGTTGCAAAAATTCTGACCTTAATGTTCTCTGATTTTATGTTTAAGACACTTAATTTTCGAGTTATTGTATTTCATTCTGATACAGAAGTTTAAAATTGAATGAGAGAAAAACAAGTTTAAAATCAAACCTTTCTTTTTTTAAATTATCATTTTTTCTTAACGAAATTTTATAATTTTAATTATATATAATATTTTTTATATTGACAAATTTTTTAAACTAATTTTAATTTTTTTAATATAAAATGTTTTTAAGTAAAATATTTTAATAATTTTTTAAAAATTTACTTCTAAGTAAAAAAAGTGGTTTCTAGAGAAAGAAAAAATGGCCACCAGCTAAATTTCCCTGTCTTTAAAAAAAATACTAATAGGATTCCTATTATGAACTAATAGAAATGAATGATACTAAAGGAATATGATTTCTTAGGATCTTTGCTATTTTAAGACGCTTGCTTTTTTTAGACAATTCTGTTAAACAATGTTTTAATTTGGATTTTATGCAGTGTAAGAATTCAATTTTTAAAAAATATATGTTATTATAAGTATGTAGTATATTTGTATATATTTTAATCAATTCATATGTTTAATGTTTTAAATATATAATAAAAAAAACTTTTTATTCATTTAACTTTTTAAAAAGTTTTAATGTATATATATTTTAATGTATAAAGATTTCTGACAGTAATTTTTTTTAGACAAGACAAACCTTAAAAACTGGGTAAAACCCCAGTTTTTAAGGTTTGTCTTGTCTAAAAAAAAATTTCGAGGACCATTTATGGAAAATGTTAGTGTTTCCTAATATGTTCTAATCAATTAAGAAATTTTATGACCTTTCAAGCTACCAATTTTGTTAATATTTAACAACTGGAGCACTGATGCTACATTTATTCTGTTTTAGGTCTTATAGCAATATGGGCCTTGTACATGATTTTAGGCCATGGTGCAGAATTAATCTGTAATGCAATAGGATTTGCATACCCAGCTTATGTTTCGTAAGTATAAGCTGTTTTTTGGTGTATTTTATCTCTTTCTGAATGTGTCATGTCAGTTGTTTTAACTATAATTTGAAAGCAGAAACTAAATATTAATTTTTATCCATTAAATATTTTAAATGCGCAGATTTGTTAAATATCTATTAATATTTTATAAGTTATTATATTTTGAACAAATCAGAAATATTTTACTTGCTTGTAATTTTTTGGAAGAAAATTAAGGAACATTGAATAAAGTCACACAAGTTTTGTAAGCATTATTCTGGACCTTTTTTTTTTTAAAGATAAAAATTAAATTAAAAATAACTCCTTGGTTGAATTCACAAATTTTATGAATTAGTTTTAAAATGAGCATAATTCTAGATTTTTGAAAAAAAAATTCTCAAAATTAGAAATCTTGAAATTTTAGAAATCTTGAACAAGACTGACCCGAAGACGGGAATCGGAATTTTTTTTTTTCTGTCTTTAAAAATATTTTCTAGGTCTACTCTCTACTACTTAAAAATATTTTTTAGGTCTACGTTATTGGTCTACTTTCTTATGTCCTGTTGTTATTTTATCAAAAGAGAGATGAATAAATATTTTTTGTACAGTATTTAAACTTGATGTATTATGGTAAAGCTTTCTTAGATATTTTGCATATGCCGAGGGGGTATTGTGTATGTTAGGTATTTCAGTCAAAAAATTTTCAGTCTTGACCTTTTTTCCAACTTGCACCCATGAATCACCTTGAATCAAACGTCTTGCGCATCCTTTAAAAATATCAGAATTGGGAGAATCATGTGAATAGGACCAATAAAATAGTATAAGCAACTGCTGAAATAAAAAGTAACTGCCGAAAAACCTAAAAAAAATGGCATGGAATTGTGATAGAATCGTCACAAATCGAACCTATCAAATAGTGATTACACAAATTCGAAATTTGCATGTGGTGACAACATTGTATTAAAAATATCAAATTTGTAAATGCTTGTGAACAGAAAAAAATGACAGCTTTCGGAAATATTATCATTAAACAATGTGAAGTTACGATGAAATCTTCATGAATCAAGCACATTAAATAATGATAACTGAAATATCTTATTAAAATATCGAATTTGTAAAACCATGGGAAAAGGGCCGATAGAATGATGAATAACTGAGGAAAAAGATGAGAAGTTTTGATCGAATCAATACGAATCGAACGCAGTAAGAGGTGATAAATCAAATTTGAATTTCGAACATTGCGATAGCATGATATTAAATATATCAGAATTTAAAAGACCGTTTGAAAAGCCAACAAAATTATGAATAACTTCCTAAAAGACCAAAATCAGACACAGTAAATATGCGATGCAATTTTAATAATCGTGAAATTACGATAGAATCATGACAAATGTTTACTGCATGTTACTTTTTGCATGGAGTTATATTTGGGTAAACTAAAGTTCTGATTGTGTGTGAATTTATTATTTTTTTTTTTTTTAAGTCGCATAAAAAGTTCTTGAGTTGCAAAATATGCAAAAAGTAAAATTCACAATTGGTGGTCTTTTGTGCGCTCTTCTGGTCAAACTATTGGGACCATATTTCCCAGATTATCGCCTATCCCCTATATATTGGGGTGTCAGGAATCCGAATTCATTTTTGGAAAAGGTATGTTTATTCAGAGAAAGTACAATTATGTCTGATTTCGTAACTTAAAATATCGCATGCGCTTATTAATTAACATATTTCTTGTCCCTCCAAGCATATTTCTTTCCCCCCCTCCAAGCCATTATGATTGAGTTCCCAGAACAACGCAGTGATCCAATCATTGCATCAAAAGTTATTCAGGGTGGTCCTTTTTTGCTCACTGTACACCAAAAAGCAAGTTTGTAAAAAATAGCAATTGAGAGTAGGGATGTAACGAATATTCGGCCACTATTCGGTATTCGGCCCTTTTGCCGAATATTCGGCCTAGCCGAATAATGAAGTATATGCTATTATTAATTATGCTGCTATTATTAATTATTTAGATTTGTGAAAGCCTTATTGTTGGCATCAAGATATTTAAAATATTACAAAAAATACATCAAGTTGTTAAATTTTTTTTAAAATATAGAAAGTTTAAAAAAGCAATTTTTTGAATATTTATTTCATTTTTAATTTAAAATTTGAGAATTATTTAATTACATAATTAAAATTTCAAAAGTGAAACTTTTTAAAAAGTTCTTAATTTTCTGTGTTATAATAATTTTTCTGACAAAAAAGAAAGTTAAGATTACATTTTAACAGTAGTAAGTAATGAGTTTTTATCTTAAATAAAATAGCATATAAATTACAAGTATAACTATAACTAAAATATGCTATTATTAATTATTTAGATTTATAAAAGCCATATTGTCTTGTTATTGGCATCAAGATATTTAAATTATTACAAAAAATAAATCAATTTAAAATTTTTTTAAATATACAAAGATTAAAAAAGCAATTTTGTTAATATTTATTTCATTTTTAATTTAAAATTTGAAAATTACTTTAATTACAATCAAAAGAGAAATTTTTAAAAAGTAAGTATTCGGCCACCGAATATTCGGCCCCATCACTATTCGTTACATCACTAATTGAGAGAGGTATTGTGGAAATTGTCTTGTAACAAAAAATGAGGAAAAGTTAGTTTACATGTTTTTCTGATACTTCAACCTGTAAATGGCAATTTTTGAATAATAATCTTATGTTTTTTACCCTGATTTTACCAATTCATGCATATTTTAACTCTAGTTCAATGTAAAATGTGAGTTTCACTGTGTGTATATATAGATATTGAATTTTTGCGGAACCTATTTTCAGTTACTCCGTTGTAATTAGTTAGACTCTATTTTTTATGCACATTATTTGTTTAATTATTAAAAATGATACAAAAATTATTTTAGCACTTTAATAAACTTTACTTTAGCAACTTTATTTAAGCACTTTAATAAATTTATTGATGATTTTATAATTAATAAATGTATTGCATTTTTATTGTTCAGGAAAAAATTATATCATCTAATATTGACTGTTCTGTTTTTTATAATTTTCAGGATGCACGCTATAGAATCCAGCAACAAAGAAGACGACACACGATGGTTGACTTATTGGGTTACATTTGCTGCCTTTTCCTTGTTAGAGTTCTTCTCTGAAATCATTTTGGATTTTGTTCCATTTTACTGGCTTTTGAAGGTAATTTAATTCATGTGACTGATCACTCACTGAATGATGATTTTGACAATTTTCATGCTTAAGATATTAAGAGTGATCAAAAATTAACCCTGTTGTACCAAATACTCCTGAAAGATGTGTTGATCGTTTTCTAGCATAATGGGCTTGAAATTATCAGTTGTCCAGGACTGTGTACTAAAATTTCACTCTAAAATTATCGGTGATCTCCAAAATCAGCAATCAACGTATATTATAAGTATGGTATACTTTTTAGGCGCTTGTGCTTTTGGACCAGTAACTAATTTTTAAAAATTTCTCAGTGGTCTGTCCAGGCCGAATTTACTACCGTTTAGCGGCGAATTAAAAGAATGTGGAATATCTGGCTGGGAGGAAGCAAGATCTATTGCTAAAGACAGGAGGCGTTGGAGGGATATGCTGGAGGCCTTAAGTGCCCAAGGCACGTAGAGGATAAGTAAGTAAGTAAGCGGTGCCTTCACAAATTCAATTTTAGGAAAAACGGTAGTTTCACGAAATACTTTTTCTTAAAATTTTATTTTTGTATCCTTAAGAAACGATAAATCTATATTTTTACTATGTTTTTGTGTTGATTTTTTAATATAATTTTTAATTTTTCACAGATTATGCCTAAATTTTCACAAAATAGGTACTTCTCAGAAAAACTTAGACAGATCCCTGTTTCTACTTCTGTTAAGATGTCTATCTCATAAATCAACTGTGTAACATTCAGCAAATAACTTGCTTGCTGATCAACGTGAGGTACTTTTTCTGAGTTCAAAACTTCATCTTGAATAAAAAAGTAAAATTTTCAACTAGAGGGTGGTGTTATTCTAAATTGTATTGAAAGTTTTAAAATACAATTTCTTTAATTAGTAAATTAACTTTCATACACTTCTTTTTGGGATAAACTGAATTTATTTTAAGATGGCTTTTTTTTAGGAAGGTATTAAAAAGTTTGCGGTCTTGATTTAGCTTTTAATTTTCTGCATTTATTCTTTATTTTAAAATCAATATTGAGAATTTATTGCTTATATAGTGTGACTTATATTATTTTTTCTTTTGTAGTGTTTGTTTTTAGTTTGGTGCTTTGCTCCCATCTCAAACAATGGTTCTCAATTCTTGTATCATCGATTCATCAGACCTGTGTTTATGAAGCATAAGGGTGCTATTGATGATACTCTTAATAAAGCTGCCTCTGGTGTTGCAGGATTAGCCAAAGATGGTAAATAATTTACTATTTTCACGTTTTCCAAAGCTATGTAATGTATTGTCACAGATTGCTTTTAGTCTATTAGAGGAAAAAGCAGTGTTAAAATTAGTTACCTATAGCTAACAAATTAGTTTGGGACTCTATTTACTTCCTTAAGAAATAAGCTGTTTTGCAAGTTCAGTGTAAAATTTATCTAATAAAAATAAACATATTCAGGGTATTCTACGTTGAATACTATATTTCATATATATATATATATCAGGAATGAGATAGATTTTTCCACTTTTCATGGATTTCTGCTTTTATCTCTCGAGTTTCAGCCTTTTTATCAAAAACTCTGATTCTCTAACAAAAAAAAGTCTTTTATGAACATTCCGGTTTTTCTGAAAATTCAGCTGTTGAAATAAAATAATTATATTTATTTTAGATTTTCAAAGGTAAACAGAAAATTCAAACTACTTAGTTGCCAGCCCTTGCTCAATATTAGCTATTTAAGTCACTTTTACGCACAGAAAATATTTTCTGCATTTTTACCCACCTGCTGGGTAGCTCGTATTTTCATGACTCAGANAATAAATAACTAATTTGTTAGTAAAAATCATAATTTAATTTAAAATGATGTCAGCCGTAGATTTCTGGATCTTTGTTTTTAATTTATTCAGCATCTTATCATATGATTTTTCTGGCCAATAAGAATGCAATGGCAACGATGAGAATGTCTTACGATCTTAATTTTTTTTATGTCATATAGAATTACTTTGTAAAGTTTTGTGTCTAAAAATATTTTTTTATCAAAAATATATCCTTCCATCTAGCTAAAGGAACATTAAAAGGAAAAAATATTACATTTGTGATATAACGTTCACAATAACTTTCGGTTCAAAGTGGAAAACATGGATTTCTGTAGATGAAGAATAGTATTTATATATATATATATATATATATATTCTTTTTTTTTTTGCTTTCTGACTACTCTCATCCCTAATATATGCTGTTATACCTCAATCCATCGCATCCTTCTTTTTTTAATGATCCTGTCAAAAATGCTTTTCTTATAATGTTAATAACATAAGAATAGCATACCACATACCAGTCTAGATAGTTTTGAAAATTTCCACATCTATCGTTCAAAAATTTTACTGACATCTAGAGAAAAAAAAATTGTTTTGAAAAGAAAAATAGTAACTCCTGATGCTAATGAGGAAGATAATATAGAGTTTTGCGATTTGGTTTTCATAAGCTACGAAAGTACTACAGACAATGAAATGGAACTGTAACCACTGCCAACAAAGTTCATTGCCTCTTTCTTTTCACATTTTCAAGTCAGTATTGTTAAATTTAGTCTCGCATTTATAGTCGTGTATCTTGTTCGCAAAGAAGTGTCCTGCTAAAAAGGACAGATTTGAAAAATAAATATAGGTTCTACTCTATATTTATTTTTCAAATTCACCAAATCTATTTTGCTATTAAATTCATAAACCATTTAAAAAGTTTAAAGGGGCATTAGTATTATACATGTATTGATGTTATTACAATTTTTAATAATGCAGATTAAAATTTTTTTAGCTTCAGGTAAGATTAAATTCATAAATTATTTAAAAAATTTAAAGGCGCATTAGTATTATATCTGTATTGATATTACAATTTTTCATAATGCTGATTAAAATTTTTTTCAGCTGCAGGTAAGGTGCTTGCTGGTGCTAAAACTGATTAATTGCACATTAACTTCACTGAATGTGCACTCTCTAACAGGGGACATGAACTTTTAGGATTGTTTCATTGTTGCAAATTTGCTGAGCAACAACAATGTATTAGAGTTCATTTTCCTATTTGCTGTAGAAGGGGATTTTCTTTTTCATCATTGTAAATAAATTACTTAAATATTGTGATATTGTTGCTAAATAAATTTGCTGTATGTGCCATTATGTATAAATTTAACAGCTTTTATTTCTTTTAAAGTAATAGATTTACTGCAAATTTACGAATGATAAATTTTTCTAACACACTAACTTTGTTGAATCCATCCTATTTCAAAGTGAAAGGAAATTATGTACTGCAAATCAAATGCACATTATAATATGTATTCACATATTTTACTCTTTATTACATTATAATCTAGTTATATGCTTGTAATTGTATCACATATCTTTGTAATAAATTTAATTTTAAGCTAAAATGTCTTGTTGTAAATAATTGACTATTTTGACTTGCAATTCAGTGGCTGGAATTTTTTTTTCCCAACTGCAATTTTTATTTATGCTATCTATTGTGTTTCATCTAAGGTTTATTTTTAGGAAGAAAGCAAACAAAAAGAAAGTATTTCTGAAGCTTTTTAAAACTAAGCTAAGTTTGTTTTTAATATAAATTGGAAACTTGTATTTAAAGAATACTGTTATGAATAGAAGGTGAAGAGTTTTCTTTCTTTTATTTGCATAGACTTGACTGTATATTTGTTTAATTTTTTTGAATTCATGAAGATAGTGCTTCAGATTCACTCTGTAAATTCTACTGCCAGGTCAGTTAACTTGGAACAGCAGTTCCCAGTCCGTACTGATCTAGTGAGCTGTGAATACTAATCAAGAATTTAAGAGAAGTTGAATCTTTGAGTCTGTATCAGCTTATAGTTATACCAGCTTTTCAAAACAATTGACTAGTCCTAGTAGAATCTAACATTACTCAAAAGCTGTCCTTGGCTGTAGCCGATGAGATACACACTGGGGTTACTTTCACAATTCTCCTACTAGCAACATAATAGCAGCTTTGAGAAGATGTAATAAAAACCTCCATATGGGCGATTTGAAGTACGAGAATGCAAAGAAATAGACGGATGAGAAGAAAGGAAAGTGGGACATTTCGCAATAATTATTGTTTATCACTTTTGTTCTGATCTTAGAGGAATTACGTAGAGGGAAAACTTCTCCTTGTCACAAAAAAGGGTTGAAGTCATTAAAGAAGAAAGTATTCAAAATATCTGGAAGAATTATTAGTTTTTAATAGGTGATAATTTTTAATTTTAAAAAATTTACCAAATTTCTGAAGTAATTTATGCATTTTTATTGAGCTGTCACGCCTTACGCTGATCAATAAATGTTTATTAACATTCTTTCGATTTATTTTTCTTGTTAAGGTTAACGTGTGATCTCTCTACCCCTAGAGAGTAGTTTTTTCATAAATTTTTAAAATCTGAGATAATCACAATAAGTTACTTTTTGTTTAACTCTGTTGGCATCAATATTAAAGTGAGTTTAAACATAACTCATTCTTACCTCAATGCTGTTTTGCTAATTAGGTTGCTTAGTCTTGTTTTAATCAAGTTAGTTTGAGTTACCTTTTGATGTTTTTAATGTTATTTATTCACTGTGCAGGCCTGCAGACGGGGTGTAATAAGTGACGGGGTGGTAGACATTTAAATATCAACTTTCGGTAATTTCTCCAACAATTTAAAAGTCTCACCACGAAAGAGCTGGATTAATGTGGCGTTGTATAATATGAACTTTTAAGTTATTTATTTGTAGTGGTGTGAAAAATAAGTTTAAATGAATAATAAATTAAAACAGACATAGCTACAACTAGAATGAATTTTTACAGAAGAGAAAGTTAGCAGCCTTGACTGAGGGATATTTATCATTAAAATGTTTATCATGGTAAGTGTTTAGCGTTTTAATTTGTTAAGCTAAACCACCCTCCAGCAGAACTTTCCAATCTCTGCATAGTGCATTGCCTTGATGTCATAAAACATCAAGATGATTCATGTTATTGGAATTAAACTATCTTTTTGTAATCTTTTATCACTATTAACTTTCTTGGTATAGGTTTTCTCCAAAACTATGCCAATAGATTGAGCAATTATTACGCTTTTTGGTTCTATCTCATTACCACCAAATTAGCTCACCAAATTATTTCCACTTAATCTTTCTGTATTAACCGAACGGTGTGAAGACATATCAGAATAGTAGTTCTTTTAATTTTGTTGATTGCATTGATGCAATATGGTGTAATTAGTTGCAGGAAAGGTAATAGCTTCGGTGTTAAAATCATTCTGGGCAGCGATGCAACCTGTGAAAATGTTCTCTCAAGTAAGAATAGAAAAAAATCGTTTTTTTCCAGATTCAGATTTTTCATAAAATAAAAGAATCCATTTTTGTCTCTCCAAAACTTTTTAATTTTGGTTTGGTCTCAGGTCAGCAGTTATGTGGTTTGAAATTAATTTACCCATATGCTGACACACCACAACTGATCAATATCTGATATTTTGCCTTGAATCTCAAATTATGCGTCATACCGTTATTTCCTTAAATTTAAAATGTGATGTATCTGAATTGTTATGCTAGTACTATATAATTGGAATTTCACTTAAATGTCTTCATTCATAAATAACTATGGAATAGACAGCATTATTTAAACAATTATTATATGTTTTAAAGGGAGAGTTCTAGTGTAGTCCGTTTTTGTCAAATGTGTTGTAATATCAGCTATAATATTTTTTTTTTTAATGAATATTTCAAATGCATAATTTACAAATGTTTAAAAAGTGATTTGATAGTAATGTATGCAAACTTAAAAGTGCATCAAAATTATGCTTTTTTTCAAAAAGGTACTTTTATTATGAATTATGGGGTTTTTTTTCCGCTCAATTATTTAAATAAATTTTAGTTCGATTTTTTAAGTTATAATATATTTACGCATGCACATGGAAAAATTCGAAAAGTAGTTGTCATATAAAGATGAAATATTGTATTATATCATGAGACTAACTATAGGATATTTCACTATTGTAAATACATCTAGATTTTATGACTCAAGATTCAAATTTTTTATTCTAATGTGATAGCAAATAGTAGTAAAAAGCCTTTGGCTCTTTTAAAAATTGATACCAGTTCTTAATTGCTACGGATTCGTTTGAACACCTGTATAACTTATGCAAGATAATTCATGTTGATAAAATGCAATATTTAATTTTGGCGTAAAAAGCACTTTTTGGGAAAAGTAGGACTTTATATTTAGACTAATACATTTTCTATCATCGGCTCCAACTTTAGTTTTATATAATCACAATGATCTAATTTCAGTTCAATATGTAAATATATTATCAATAAATAATGATAAATACGATTGTCTTCTTTCTCTAAGATAAATTTCAAAAATGAAATAATTCAGTTACCAGTCTGAAATTTATCGAAAACTTCACACGTATTTGGCGCTTAATGGGCTAACGGCTTGTTTTAACGTAAAATAAGTATATTTATAAATGAAGAACACAACTTAAAAATGTCCTCTTTAGACCCAACCCAAGGAATCCATTAGGTTAGGATACATCACCAAATATACGGCATACGCAATCTGAAAAAAGTGGTGAATTTTTTTCTTCAAGATTGCTTAAAATTAAATAAAGTTAACTTTCAGTTCCTTTTGTAAAATCAGTCGTAAAGTTTATACACCAAAAAGATAAAACGAAATCAAAATATTTTGTCAGTTATGTATACTTTTAAAAATTTAGCTACCAGTTTAAAACATTTTCCAGGTCATGACACATCAGGTCTGAAGATGTTAGATAGTTCAAACAATCATCACCCTGGGATTTCCAGGTAGTGAATGATGTTTCAAACAATCGTCTCCATGGGAATTCAGGCAGTGAAAGATAGTTCGAACAATTATCTCTGTGGGAATTCTGGAAGTGAAAGATGGTTTAAACAATTATCTCTGTGGGAATTTAGAAAGTGAAAGATAGTTCAAACAATTATTTCCGTGGGAATTCCAGGTAGTGAATGATAGTTCAAGCAATTATCATCGGAATTCCAGGTAGTGGATGATACTTCAAACAATTATCTGCGTGGGAATTCCAGGTAGTGAATGATACTTCAAACAATTATCCGCATGGGAATTCCAGGTAGTGAATGATACTTCAGACAATTATCTCCGTGGGAATTCAGGTAGTGAAAGATAGTTCAAACAATTAACTCCATAGCAACTTAGGTAGTGAAAGATACTTCAATCAATCATCATCTTAGGAACTCAGGAAAGTGAACAAAAGTTAACTAGCTAGCAAGTTAGTTTCTACATCAACTCTAGTTCGAGCTCATAAAATAAGATTTCGAAGGAGATCTAAATAAATTTCCCCCTACTACAACGGATATATGCTCCTCATTGAAGAAAAAAAAACACATAACTTCTCAGGTACAAAACACAAACACGCTAAACCCCAAATTGTGTTGCTTATGATATTTATGGTTTTGACTGTCGCAGCTTTAAGAATACGAAATTTCTAAAATATTCTTTTTGCCATGAGTCAAAAGATTTATCACTTTTCCTAAAACGTCTAATTCTTTAGTTTTAAATTTTATGTTTTAGATTTCGTTGAATTTATTTATAAATGTATGTTAAATCCGTCATTTATTTATAAATGTATGTTAAATCCATCCTTAACTTTCTCATGCTTTGAGTAAAAAGTGGGCGTTACTTTCCTTCATTACCTAATTTTCAATCAGTGACTTCTAAAACTTGCTTCTCAGATTTTGAAGAAGAAAAAAAATAGCTTAATTCCCAGATAGCAATATAAGGTTTTTTTCACCCAACAAAAACCTTTTCATGAAACTTAAAAAGGATTTTTAGACGGTTTACGCGTAAACCTTCTAACCTTAAAACGAGATCTGCGACAATCTGCTCTATTCTACGCACATTACCCTAATCCAGGGGTCGGCAACCTTTTGAAATGAAAGAGCCAAAAGTAACAATTTTACAAAATTTCCCGCTTTTAAAGAGCCACTGAAAATTTTTGATTTAATACTATAATATTTTTTTATCTATAGATTATTTTTAATTAAAAAAAACGGTTTTGAATACAGAATAATATTTATTCTTTATTTTTAAAATACGCTAATAATTTTTTTAAAATTTAGCTTTTATTTAATTTTTAATTTTTTTAACTTATTTCTTTTTTTGGGGGGGGGGATAAGAATATTTGGGTCATTAAAATTCGATGAAAATTGCAAATTTTCTTACTAATTCTTGTCAAATTTTCAACAGAAAACGCGATTTTTTTTTATTAAATGTGCAACGAAACACAATCTTATCAGACAGATTTTATAATAATTCTTTTTAATTTTTCATAGCAATTCCGTAATAATATTCATTTATATTATATCAGAATTTTTTCACAATTTTCCTTTTTTAAGAAAT